CTATATTTCTCAAAAGATTTTACAAATATGTTATTGCTTTGATATCTTGTATATTCAGGTAAAGTCTTTTTATGGCCAGAGGCTTTTGTCCGTGAATGACGAATATTCCATGACAATTAGCTCTTTAATACTTCATAAGATCATAACCATCACCTTGCACTCTGTATTGCACACAGATTTAACAAGGGACTAGCTTTTTGATTAATTTGATCCATATGCTATAGTATTACTTCAAGCCACTTAAAGTGAACTACACTCTTAAAAGACATCCACAAAAGCGTTCTGCGAATTGTAGATCTAACAAAATCAAAGCTTCCCGTCCTTCCTCCCCTCACTGTCCTCTAAATCTCATGGCCGTGAAGTGAAATCACTTCAAGTGATGACGCAAGTTCATGTCATTTCGATCATAGTGTCATTTGTTGTGTTTAATCAAAAGGCAGTCTCCGTACCATGCACACCCCAAGGTCTGCACATCAGAAGTCAGTGCAGAAAGATCCCAATTAGAGCTTAATGGAAGTTTCCCCAACACAAAAGAGGCTGTTAGTATTTTATCAGGTTCCATTTTTTTCACCTAGATTTCAATTCTTATTTGGCACAAATGATGAATTCGCCTCTTTAAAGCTTTTTACGGGAGATAAAAGCACAGTTTCCGACTAGCTTAGCATAAAGTAGCCCATTGTCAGCATGTCTGATTCAACACAGAACCCAAACATGTAATAGTTGCACGTTCGAAGTGCAAAGCCGTATGAGGCGTGCTTGCTTTCTGGCACAGCATGCACACCATTATGTTTGCACCATTCATTTGAATCAAAGTAATCACTTCTTTTTACAGCCCTTATATCATAAAGCCTCATGGTATGGCCGACCCCCGTTTCCCACTGCAGACATACCAACACTTTTTGGTGTTTTGAAAGGTAGACATCCCTCATATTCCAGCACATAATGAGGGCGTAGATCTACTTGATTCTCCTGGTGGTTCTACTCTGCTGTCACATACATAATTAGAGGAATAGTCTTCACGCTTACGACTCGTTCAGCTCGATCCAAAACTGTTCATTTTGGGATCTGTGACCACCTCAAAATGATTCCCTGGCAATTCGCAATTATTATTTTACCAGTGTTATTTTTTCCACTGTGACAGGAAGCAACCCAGAGGAAAGCCTTCAGCAGCTGAGGAGCTCTGGCGCCGACAGGTGATTCCCTTCTAATGGATGCTAATGTGGTGGACATGACTGAGGATATTCCCACTGGTGTACACTTACAGTTAATTGATAATTGAGGTTCTATGAAAAGATGCACATTAAATCATGGCCAATGAGCCTGCCTATAAGGTTGCAGCTATTTAAAGAACAAGTCTCCAGAGCCTCTTAAGGTTTCCCCACAACTGGAATGCACTTACAATGAATAATTAAGGTGGAAATATTCTCAACTCATACTAACTTATTTAAGACATTATTTCAAACATTATACATTATTGCTAGATGTTAAAAAGCATAAACACTTTCACCTCCTCTGAATCCTGGTTGCTTTATCGATCTAGAGGTGTTTCTGGGATTTACTTGAATTGAATTAACATGAATAACCTCCAACATGGCTGCACAAAATTTCTGTTTTGCTGCTCTTTGCTAGCCGCTGATATCGTAACGCAAAGATTCTTTCTACGGTAGAGGCGTTGCACGGAGGCTACATGCATTTTGTATTTACAAATTACAAAAGGTGCAGAGAAAGTTCTTCGTTCAATCATGTGCTGTTCATCGTGTTTCTTACTTTTTGCTGCTATGGATTAGCCTGGGCGCCACGGTTGAAATCATAACGTCAATAAAATATTTTTTAAACGCAAATGTTTATGATTAGTGGGTTTTTGTGTGAAATCACAAATAACAAACTAATGTTTTGTGTAGTGAATTGTGTTGCATTTCATATTACTTTTCCCCCACATATAAAACAAACCCAATTACTTTGGATCTATTCATTTAACATCATCAATCAAATAATAAGATGTTATGGTCATTGTGGTTCAATTGAAAGTTCTGAATCTTATGATCTATGAGGTGACTAAACATCCAGAGTAATGGGACAATAGGACACAGGAACACATGTTGTCGTAATTACACGATACTAGAAAAAACAACAGCCGACTGAGGGAATCCCTTTAATATGAAGGATACCATTGTGTCCTTGTAATTCAAATATTTTAGCCTGTGCCTAAACGTGGACAAAAGATACCAAACAAATGTATTTATGTATCTACTGACTTGAAAAGGTATTTTAGCAGATTTGGAAGAAAACATTGTATTGTCATCTGATCTCAACATTTTTGGGGGAGTATTATGGCGATATGTATTGTTTGTATTAGACCGCTTTTCCAAGACACTGCTATCACACCAGATGTGGCGGCTGAGGCTGACTTGGGATTGGAGCGACTGTACAAACAGATCGGACCGGTCTAGCCGGGTGGGATCCTACAACTGTGCTAGCTGACAGTCAGCCATCTTGTTGTTATCCAATCAATGAGTCATCACCTGTTCAGTTAGAGCTACGCCACCTCAGGCTACACGGCCACAGGAGCTGCACTTCACCAGCTGGCTAAAACTGCTTACTTTCAAATAATTAGCACAGATCAGATGTTTTTTTTTTTCCCTTTTGAGAAAGAAGGATCAAGTTTCATGGGCAGTAAAAGCGATGCCACTGGTGAAAAACAAACGCTGGTCATCTGTCAGGTATGGGGGTTAAAACATCAGTTTGTTTAAAGGGCGCATTAGTACCGGTTTATTTGTTATCACTGTTAACTTAATTTTTACATCATAAAAGCAGTATCCACCTGTGTTTTGCATATTTTTAGGAGAATGTGGATGTGTCGACAGTGTAGATAAAAAGGCTAAAGAAAACACGTTTCTTTGTTTGTGGTTGCACTGCACTAACACACACATCCTTATTTTGTTGTTTCTATGTGAACATATGTGTGTGTGTGTGTGTGTCTTCACAGATTTCGGTTTGTGTATTCACTGTGTTCTTTCCAACGGCAACTGGGACTCTTTTCTCTCTGATCAGTCAGTTATTGTATCTCTGTCTTCACTTTATATGTTTGTTCTTTTTGCCAAACACAGTCCCATTAATAGTGCATGGATAAGAAAGAAAAAGGCAAATAGAGAGCAAACCAGCAGCAAACCACCAAACTGCCATGCACGCCCTTATTTAATATTCTCTGTGCTTTCAGCCCAAGCTGCTCGTCCTGTGCACTGTCTAGTCAAATCATGACGGCCAGGATTAATCTGTCTCTTTAAGAAAAAACACCTTCAACAAGTATATAGAAAAGGAGAACCGTTTTATTAAAGCACATGTCGGTTGCTGTGTCTTTATTGTGGCTGTATTATAATTCGCTACGTTAAAATACAACTGGGTTCAACAGAAAGGAAACAGAGTCCATTTTGCATGCATGTCTTTTCATCCTGGCTTGCACAGAAATAATGTTGTGCTCAGTCGGATGCATTTTATTCTGTTTGAAAATATTCCCATGAGAATTTACAGTGGGCCTGAAGAGGAACTGGATGGACGCAAACCACACTAACTCCGAGCTAATCAATGTGTTAGTGTTTAAGTGCATGATAGGGAGCCGCTTTGTCCAGAGGCCTTTCACATGGTAAGTGAGTCCTAATCTCTCAGCAGTACTATGGCAAAACCAACCATTTCTAATGGCAAACAGTGGGCTTTTGGAAACTATTGACTGCTGGGTGGTGTGAGAGACCGTGGGGAAATGTCCTGGCAAGTGCTGCAAATTCAGCTGCTCTTTTATGCACATAACACACACAAATGTCTTTGTCCGTCTCAATCAAATATACACTACCTCTCTGAAACACACACAGACACACACACACGCTCCCTCACACACACTCAGAGTACGGGGCCAGGTGGTGTAGTTATTGCCAGATCTTGCTCTCTGCTCTCCTGAGTGCAATTGGTAACCTGAGCTGCCTGTTTGAATAGCTCAGTTATACCAAAAGCTTCCTTGCCGCAGAGATAACGTGGAACAGTGCCCAAAACGCAATTTGTCCCGGCTCAGGTTAGTCATTGACTGCGTGATGAATACTGAAATTGAGCTTTCAAAGTCACTTTAACGGTCTTTTCATAAGAAATTAGGGAGATTTAAAAGTTGGTTGGATGGCCTCACGGGCGCAGCTTGTATCCAAAATCTGTCAACCTGAGTGCAAGTTAGTCAGTGGGAATGTGTCAGCTGAGGGGATGTGACAGCCAGGCCCGGGGCCTCCTCATTTAATTAAGGAGCCCGTCTTGTTTTGGGGAACTCACATCCAAACACGTCTTCCAAGATCTCCCAGGGCAGTTTATATTTCAAACACGATTCAGTACATATTTTGCGTTGATGTTTTCTGATTTAACCTGCATGTGTCCAATATTCTGCCTCCTAGCTAAACTAGCTTTACTCTCGCTACCAATAGCACTCATTTGTCCAGCAAATATTTGTTTTCACCCCTCCCCCTCCCAACAATAGCCTGTAGACCACAACACGCCCTTTGGATCACAATGACAACAAAGATGATTCTGTTAACTGTTGTTGGATTGGTAGTACACATTAACAATGTCTATGATTGACTTATTTAGATTAGCTTCAGGTTGGAATATAACTGAAAGAGAACTCCGTTTTATATTGTACACTACAGTCTAGGCATTATGATGATATTTTAAAAATCTTGAACTTCACTGTACAGAAAATAATATAATATCTCAGACCATATCATGAATTCATTGCAATAACATATGACTGACATAAGTCATCTTCAATAATAACTTAACCAAACCAATAGATAATGGAGCCGAGTCCATGCGCGCGTCCATTACATGAAATAAATTATTTGTGCGAATGAATGAAATGCGTGTCTCCCACGTGTCCCCGTCGGCCCGGGGCCGCCCTCTATAGGCCCCGTGCGGTACTGCAGCAGCGGAGCGCCTCCTCCCTCCTCCTGAAGCCGGAGTTGCATTCCTCTCCTCTCCATTCACGCGTAGGGAGCCGCCGGAGAGAGAGCCCCGCCGCTCCGTGACCACAGTGGAATGTCCCGAAGTTTTGGAATTTAAAACCATGGAAAGGATATCTAACCTCCGGATCACTTGAACCTGTAAGTACCGTGGAAACTGCGGCGAAGGATTTTGTTTTTTTATTTTTCACGTGTAAGGAGCGGCGGTTTGTAGGGAGCCGGCTTAAATATTTGTTTCTGTCTCTCCATTGCTCTGTGCGGGGAGTTTGTCGTTGTTTCCCTCCGTCGCCCCCCCGTCCTCCCCCACTTGCTTCTTCTCTGCTCTCGGGCGTCTGGTTTCCCTCACGAGTTTGAAGAGCTCGAGCCTCCAGCCTTGGTTTTGGTTGCAGTGAAACGGGCACGAAGAGGAACCGTAGAGTTCCTCCGATATCCAGTAATGGGCGCGCTTGTGTGTGTGTGCGTGTGGTTGCGCGGTGTTGAACGCGCACTCCGGTGTGACCACCAGTCGGATCGATCCGCAACAAACTGCGGATGGTCTGGACGCCGAACGGCGATTTAACGAACTAATTAAATTAATTCGAACATATCTTACTGAATAATTTCGTGGTTCGCACCCGGGGAGCGAACTATTTTTTGCAAGTAACCCGGATTTGGTGCAGCGCGAGGTGAGTTTTGTCTGGTTTGACTCCGGCCACAGTAAAAAGAAAGCGACTTTTCCTCATTTGGGAGTTCTTCGCCGCACGAGTAACATGTGGAGTTTTTTCTAATAAAATACAAGCTACCGGTGCGGGTACCGAGCCGGCGGAGGGTGCGTGTGGCTGTTGCACCGCCTCGGGAGAGGCAACGGCAGCACACGCACACCCGCGGGCTCAGGTACCCGCCGCCCCGACGCTCACGCGCGGATGAATAGTCCGTGGAGGCTGCGTGGATTTAACCCCCCCCCCCCCCACCTCGTTCTTGTTTATTTGTTCTTTACACTTGTACCGACCCTGCATAGGCTTTCCTAAACGGACCTCTAAGGGTGGAGGTGTGTGTGTGATTTCTCCTCTGGGTGCTCGCTTTAAAAGAAAAGCAATCGATTGAGCTATTAGCTTTGAATGAATTGTAAATTGCGTCGGCGTGGTGTGAAAGGCGCGTTAACGTGCTAACGAACGAGAGGCGCTTTGTGAGTGCTGTCTGTGGGTGTGTAGAGTGCGCATTGCTTGTCAAGCTATTCAAAATGCTCTCATTGCTCCATCGGATTCTCCTCAGTTCTTTCCCCTTTTTAGTATTAGAAAAAAATAAAAAAATCAAATCAAATTACACTTCCCACGCCGACCCCCGCGCGCTAGTGACCCACGGATTGTGGATTCATAAATCATATTAGAAGAGTAAGGGACATCATTTTAACCTATTTTGATGGGTGAGTGGGGGGGGGGGGGGACCAGACTGCAGCCCATCACTCCCCCTCCCCTTCCCTCTAAAACAAATAATCAGTGAAATATGAAGGGAGTCCTGGTTTGTATTTAGTAGTTGATACAGACATGGCAGCGTTGATGGATGTATCCTTTGGCACCACCCCAACACCCCCACAGGACACGGGCGTCACGTGACTAACGTGGTAACTCTTTATCAGAAGTGACTTGACCCATTTTTTCTTTTTGTCCCTCAGCCCAGTCAAGCGGCAGCTCCTTATTGACAGTTAAATGCGGTGGGCAGCGGGTTCCCATTTAAATGATGCGGGATGTGAACCGTGACGTGAGTGTTTGTTTAAGAGCCGGTGCCCAGTCCCACGGCTTTAAATCATTCCACGAAGGACTGACAGGCCGCCAGCCGCACAGTGGAGGTGCACCCGACTCCTTCCACCCAGATCCTGACTTCACACCAGTGTGTGAACGAGGGCCGGGAGCGGCGGTAATGGAGACCGAACTCTTTGCAGTAGCGCCGAGTGCGAAAAGTGGTCGGTGGCAGGATCCTTTGTCTGAGCGGCAGGTTCCGATGGTCTGTGGCAGGTTCCTTTGTCAGAACGGCAGGTTCCGATGGTCTGTGGCAGGTTCCTTTGTCAGAACGGCAGGTTCCGATGGTCGGTGGCAGGTTCCTTTGTCAGAACAGCAGGTTGCAGTGGTCGGTGGTAGGATCCTTTGTTAGAACGGCAGGTTGCAGTGGTTTTTGGCAGGTTCCTTGGCAGAACGGCAGGTTGCAGTGGTCTGTGGTCCGGTAGTATCCTTTTTCAGAATGGCACAAGCCGATCTTAGTTTGCCATTTAGCGACATGCAGATTCCATGTTCCATGTCCAACGTTAAATGAGTGTCTTCATGATCATTGGTTTGCCGTAAATGTTTTTTTCTAACTTTATTAAGAATCTAACACAACACAGCAAACTTGCAAATAGCGCAGAGTATTAAATAAAGTGATGTATGTCTTAATGCAATGCTTTAGAAATGAACCCAAAGGGATTCTGTATTTGCTCATGAAGTCTGAAACAGGTAATTTGGCCAATGTTTCTTTTACAGCTGAGAGCCACAGATTTAATTTGTGTGTGTTGGGGGGGTGGGGGGGGGGTAAAACGGCGGCCTTGCATGGTATTTCACATGAAAGCTGGCAACCCAGCCAGAAAATGACCAGCAATTTGCCTCAATCTTCCCCAATTATGATACAAATCTGCCCCACCATATGCAGCGGTGTCATGCATTTTGAAAGTCTGCCCCGTCCCGTCCGGCTGCTGCCGTGAAGGGTAAATCTGTGATGTTCAAACTTTGGAATTCAAGCTGACGTGGACTTTGCACCCCGCCGGTCCTGCCTTTGTGCGATCCCGCCCCCCACTTCCCCCCCCCATCGCATTCCTCGGGACCTTTCAGTGACTGGCGTATTCAAGGTCTAATTAGATCTCAGATGGAGGAAGACCAGAAGAGCTCAAGTGAGAACTGCCACTTGGCTCCCCAAATAACTAGTCTTGTTGTGTGTATTATATCATTTATTTATAAAATATATATATATATCAAATTAAAGGAGAAGAAATTATTTCTCGCAATGGTCTTTCTCAGTTGGAGGGAAATGCTACTGTTCTGCATCATCTGAACTGTTTAATAGGACTTGATGAGCATAATTGTATTTTTCACTGTGATTCATTGCTTTCCCGCCGGTAGTGGATATATGTACGGTGTTCACCGTGGATGGGTGTGTGTGTGTGTGTGTGTGTGTGTGTGTGGGTGTGTGTGTGTGTGTGTGTGTGTGTGTGTGTGTGTGTGTGTGTGTGTGTGTGTGTGTGTGTGTGTGTGTGTGTGTGTGTGGCTGCACTGCAAAATCTTTTCCATTTTCCCTTACCGCTGGACTTTCTTCACCAGCATGAGAACCTCATGTTTAGGCACTTCCTCTCTCTCTGCCGTTCTTCTTGCCTCCAGTCTTTTCGTCCCTTCGTCTTTGTCTCGTCTCTTCCCTCGTCATCCTCTGCTTCTCTCTCTCTGTGTCCAGACTCTCCTCCTAACTTTCAACTGTGTCTCCGGTACATTTCCAAGGGGATTGCTAGTCTCCCGTGGCTCGGTGCATGCAGAAGAATTCACTGCGAGTGCAAGAGGAACCACTACAGGGTTTATGCTTGGCACGGCGGCGCCGTGATGCATCAGCTTTCATATCATAGCCAACGGAGATGCTGTGTTTTTATTACATAACTTTTCATTTGTGTCAGTCTTGCTAAAGAGGTTAGCCGTGTTGCCGGCGCTGCGCTCCCAGACTGTTTTGCTTGGTTCTCTTGTTTTTCTCCAACACCTCTTTTCAAGATCCTGCTTGGGTTTTTACTTCTTTCCGTCCTGGTTCCTCTCCCGATTCTCTGTGTTGTCACCTCTCCATCCTTTTCCCATCCTCTCTCTCTCTCTCTCTCTCTCTCTGAGTGTTTTTTCTTGGTCTCTGGGGTTTGTGTGGCGCCCTGCAGCGAGGGAGCTACAAAGCAGCAACAATATTAAAACGCACTAAAGAGGGACCAGCAGCAGGGCTCTACCCGAAGGCCCTGTTATAGAGAGAGACACACACACACACACACACACACAGCTCTCATGGTGCTAACACCTCTCCAGCCGACAGGCCTTAATATGAAATAAACTCACTCGCCAATACCTGGCGGGGCCGTCTTGACTGACTGCTCAAATCGGAATGACCTCCATTTGGCCCAAATAAGAAGCCGGGATTGAGAGTCAGTGGGCGGTGTTGAACCGCAAAGTGCCGGCGCATTACGAATCACATCAAGAGGCGAGCTCGCAGGTGGGCCCGGCGGCATAAATCCTAATCAGTGCCAATCACAAGTGATTTTAAAGACTCATCTGCAAGCCCCATCACATTCTCAAGACAGGGAGTGCGCTCAGGCCCGGCAGTTGTGTTTGGGTCCCAGGGAACGCGTCGACTTGGAGAAGGTGCATGAAGCGAGTGTGTGTGTGTGTGTGTGTGTACAATGTGAAATGAAAGCCTCGTCTGTGTTGTTTGATGCTCGACCTTCGTTGTCGCGTTCCTCACTTGCAGCCAAATTCTGAGTCTGACCTCCCGTGGTGGCAGAGCGAGGTGTATTCTTCTTTCTTCCTTTTGAGTGAAGCAACCTTAGTTTCTCCGTCTCTTCTGTGCTCATCCGAGTGAACTGTGTGTTATGTATAATTAATTTTCTCCTCTCTCCCAGTTTATTTTTATCGCCCACTTTTAACCATTCCCTTCAAAGGACCCCTCCCCCGCATCCGTCCTCCACGGTGCCCGCTGAAAGTGACAGCTGCTCGGGTACGAGGGTGGGGGCGCTTTTTGAGGCAGGCACTAAAAAGGCCACTCAAGTCGACTTGGAGTAGAAGAAGAAAAAATCTGCAGTTGAGACAGTTTTTAAAAAAAGGGTGCAAAACTGTCTGCAAATTGAAAATACATTCTGACTCCAGTGACTGACTGTTGGGGAGCCACATTTACATGGCCTCCTTTCGTGCAAAGAGCTGTTGATTAGTTTGGACGACATGTAAAGCAGAGCGACGGGAGTGGCTGAAGGAGGACACGGGGACCTTGTTCACTGTTTCCCAGGCATTTCGCTTTATTGACAGCAGCTCTTCTTGTTGAAGAAGCAAATTGAAAATCTCTCGTAATGTGTAGAACGGGCATCTCTCCCAAAAACAAAGGCGCACTGTCGTCTGTCGCGTGGGCAC